ATACAAATATTCCGGGATTCAACAAATGGAAAATGATTTGAATTTATGACGCAATAGAGGCAGTTTATTGAAAATGTGAATATTATGTTAAACGGTGTACAGTGTACACCAGAATTTTTTTTATTCAAAAGTAAATTTGATCTTTTATTTAGAACACATTTATTTACAAAAAAATAAGGAAAGACAATTATTCCATTTCTTTTCGAAGGTGATGGCTCTTTATTTCTTTCTTAAGATTCATAATAAATATGACAGAGAAACTAAGAATTAAGCGGTAAATCGAAGTCTTTAATCAAAAAATGAAAAATCATTTTTGAAACACTTTTCATACAAAAGTCACAAAATTTTTGGACTTTTGTATGGAAACCATGCCATACATTGGGCACGGAAAAAATTTAAGTGATGAAATCAATTAACTACTAGGTCAGGTATATAGAGAAAATCGATGGCATTTGGTGAAATGACTTGATTTGATGAATCGACTATTTAGTAAATAGTAAAAAAAAGTCCCTTCGAGATATTATTATTGAAAAATGTTCTATTGAATTTTGAATGATACCTGTTCCGCTTTGTGAATAAATAATAATTGGTTTGTTTGAGGGCGTTGATGGCAGAAAATAAAAACAACGAAAACTTTCAATATGGTTGTTTGCTCTGTTTTCATTTTTCCTTTGAAGTGAACACGATTCTCAGGCAACTAGTTATTTATTTCCAAAGCTGTCCCAAATTGAGAATTAATCCAAAGTGTTGAATCTAAAATAATTGCATAGAAGGTAACAGCTAAGTTTAACTTAGTCCGAACTGCTGTCACCACTTAACTGAATAGATTGCTATAGAATAAAAACAGCGTATGAAAAGGTTGCATTTCAAAGCGAAACACCGTCATACAAAATACAGCAAAAAATGTATGCAAAAACAACCTTTGGTGTGCGACCGTATCATACGCTGTATTTATTCTATAGCAATCAATAGTTGAATACTAAGGGCTTTAATTTAAGGCAACCAAATCATTTGGCCCACACATTGCTTTTGATGAAAGTGAAAAGTCGGTGGAGAGAAACATTTCATTATTTTTTTCAGTGAAAGAGATGAAAAGAATTAGAAGGGAAACAGTTTTTTTTAACTTACTTTTATTTAAGATGCAACCAAACATAGGCACGGTCAAAAATTAAAGGGGAGTCCATCGGCAGAAGAAATTTGAATTAAAACCAAATGATTCTATTTATGAATTAAAATATAGTCAGCAGGGTTCAGGCTTTCATTTGTCAGTCATTTGACAAGTGAAAATAAAGCGGTTGTTTAATTATAAACACAGATGTACGCGAAAACAGAAATTTGACAAAAAAAATTATCTCTCTCTTCGTTTATAGAAATTTTATAGCAATTTAAACAATGGTTTCGATTGTTCTCCAATTTTGTCAATAGCATTTTTTGACTAAACTATGCATCTTTTTGAATTTCGATTATTTTTTTAAGGAATTTTAAACCAAAATAATCATAGAAAAATAGTCGAAAAAAAATTAATGCATTAGAGGGTTAAATAAGCGCTATAATTTGATAGTGTCAAAGGATTGACATTTATAGTACTACTGCTAGGAATAGTAGGTGTGTTTTTACATGATTTCTGTCATAAATAATAAATGTTTTAAAAATCAATTAATGGTTAGACGTCTATCGTATCTATATCAATGTTAATAAGCAATTATTCGGATAATTTAAAAAAAATCATGTCACGCGGTACGAATAAAACTACGTTGAAAGTAAAACCTCGCACTCAGTTGGAGTGCGTTTGCCGATAAAATCACAAATAGAAACTATCCCAAAATCGCTGAATAAACTTTGTTTCAACCAAAATAAAAAGTTTGGTTTATTTAAACAATAAATGTCAAAATTCAAAGTTTTAGAATATAATCAAAGGTTTATGGTATGGCTGGGCATCCATTCGCATCGTGTGACCGAACCAACAAATGAATTTTTACAATCATTCTCCAGTTACTGTGTTCTTTTCAGCGTAATTATGTTTACAATAACGTCGTCCGCATTCTTTGCATACAAACATTTTGATCAATTTGATGCTGCACTGGAGGCAGTATTTATTGTGATCGCCGGTTTGCAAGCGGGCGGTATGTTTTTAAGCGTCGGCTTTGAAATGAAAGCGGCCAAAGCGTTGCAAATTAAATTGCAGGAAATTGTCGATGAAAGTAGGTGAAAAAGAGTTTCTCTATTTATCTTATTTTTCTACCAAAATTTCTTTTCGCCACAGATAAAAATGAAGAAATCATCGAACTATATTGGTGTACAGAGCAAAAGTGTCGAAAATACACAAAAGCAATGACATTCATCTATTTGATATTCTTCGAAGGAATCTTTGTGATTTTATTCGTATACTCAATTTATTTCATAGTGCATGGACATTTTGAACCTTCGAAATTAGTTTTGCCATATTACATGGTCGTGCCATTCGATGCAAACACAATAACTGGATGGTATTTGTTATGGCTTATTCAGTGTTTTATGTCCTTCAATTATTCGATGTGTGTATTATCGACAACGTCATTCTTCTTGTGCTGTTGCCTTTACATTACCGCCATTTGTGACCATTTTGCATTGTTGATCGTCTTCATTATGGACAATGCAAACGATATTAGAAGAACGAAAAATTGGGCGAAAAAATTCAAAATTCATCATCAGACACAAGAAAAGCTCCACAAAGCAATTGAACTACATGTCAAATTGTTTGAGTACGTGAATTCACGACGTATTTTTACTACTATGTAATCATTTGGGCTCATCATTTTTGCTACAGAGCAATTTGAAAGCTCCAAACAAAATGAAGTTAAATTCACTCTCAAATTACTCGGTAGTAAAAATGAGCAATCAGCGTATTTAAACTTTCTTGGTTTCGATAATTTGAAAATTGTTGAAAATGAATGTCTTTGTATGTGTACAATTTGAGATTCGAAATAGTCTCCAAAACCACTTTTGGAAAATTATTTTAAATTTAAAAATAAATCGAAACCAACAAAGTCACATGAGTATCAAGGTTATTTTGGTATTGAGGTCGAACCAAAGCAGAACCATTTTTTAATTAATTCGCTAATTAATTTGGCGTACATTTCTTTTGCAGCATCTTTCATTTGGTGGCCAAGATAAACAATGGAACAATATTCTCGCTTCTACCAATAAATGCCGTCTTTCTAGCGATTTCGATGTATCGAATTGAACATGTTTGTACTTTGTTTCTAACCAGGGATTTTTGCTATGAGGAATGGTGAGGAGGAATAGGGCGGAGACAAATGAAATGAGAAGGAGAGAGCTGAGAAAGATCCTCTTCAGCGTTCTCCTCCTTCTCTGTCTCCTCACCATCCTCCTCAGAGGAAAAGTCCCTGTTTCCAAGTTATTTTTCGCATATTCAATACGATCTTTTAATCGAGAGCGGTTCTAATTTGACATTTTTTCGCTTGGATTGAGCCTAATATGGATCTCGACCTAATAAAATTGGTTTTTTAACAAATATTGATACTACTAGGGGAAGTGGGGATTGGCAGATCAATAATTAGAAGTACTACTGAGGAAGTACCCATCAGTGAAGAGAAATGGGATTGGGCCGCTTCGTTTTGAACCACTCTTCATTAGATTAAAATTCCGTCTCTTATAAATTTCAGTCCGAATTTGATGTCGTTTCGTTTTCTGTGAATATTCTTTACATTGGATCCTCGTTAAGTTGGCCATATATTTTTTGTCATTTCTCCACCCATACCGTCAATCATATAGCTTCAATAAGTGACATCATATTCAATACCAATTGGTATGATTATGCATCGGAGTGGCAAAAGAGTATCATTTTAATCATTGCCCGTTCACAACAAGGTGTTGAGTTCTCCGGATACAAAATTATCCCTTGCAATTTGGCTACCTTTGGCAGTGTAAGATTTTCAACATTTTCTTTATGAAAGCACAAGATATATGATATGAGATTTGTTTACAGATTCTCCGAACTTCCTTCTCTTTCTACTTAATTTTTCGGAAAACATCCAATTTGTGAAGAACAAATTATTTTCATAAAATATGAAAAGCAACCAAGCTCAAACCGGGAGAGAAAATTTGACCTTTTTCATCAAGCACTTGGAGGAACAACGACGATTTCTATTCCAAACAATTGGTTATTTGAAATTCAGTGTGAGATTCTCGACCAAAATTTATTAATGATTCAAAAGTAAATAAAATTTAAATTCAATAATAAAGAACTAAAACAACATAAACAATGCGCTTTATACGAAGTATATGTAAAGAACATGTCGTAGAAACAGAGATTTTATTAGGTAACCACACAAAATAGTCTGGCCATGCAATCAGTGATTTTGTATTAGAGCGATAGGAAAGTAGAGTGAAAGGGTTTTTCCATCCATCGCATACTAAATCAGAGATTGCGTGACAAACATCATCAATTGTATCAGATAATGGTGTATGTGATAAATTCAATGAACCGAGGTTAAGCTTACAAATAGTAGTTTATTTAACACTGTTCATGTACTGCTTTCGTTGAAAGAAGTTTAATTAGATGACAAAAATTGTTATTCAAACGTGTTCAAACGTAACCATGTCAATCGCAGATGGATTAATTATGGTTTTCATTCTTAACGGTGGTTCCTTTTGATTTATCGCATTGGCTGCTTCGCTCTCTCAGAGAATTCTCTCTCTCTTTTCTCTAATCAGCCAAAAATTTAACATTGAAATTGCGCATTGAAAAAAGTAAAAGTGTTACGTGCGATAATCGGGATTTTTATAACGCCTGTTCGAAAATGGACCTTTGAAAAAAAAATCATTTTCATTTTCAGCTAGTGACATCTATGTCAAATCAAAAGTCATACAATAAACGAGAATCAAATGACGAGCATCACAAACACACAGTCACTGCACACAAACAAGCGCAACCATCTCATTTTATCGCCTGATTTCTGTAGTTGATGTGAACGCACATTCTTTTTGGCACGAACACCGAAGGCGAATGCACGTTTTTCTGCATAGTCAAAGCTGACGTCATCATTTTTTGACTTCGTGTGAATTCAATTGTTTTGTTGAGTATTTATTCAAGTTCTCCAATATAATTTTTCAAAGTAATCCACGTTCTCGGTGAATGGAAATATGGAAAATTAATTTGAATCATCAATGTGGGGATCAAAATGCGAAATAAAAAGATGTAAGTAACTTTTGATGACTCATTGATTTGTCAACTGTCTAGTTGTTGTTGTAATGGGAAACTGCGTATTTAAAATTATCACTCGTTCTGGAGTATGATAAATGGAAACAATTATGCTGAATAAATACAGCAATTTTCAATTTTGGAGCATAATATCTTTATTTGAATAAATATTTTTATGTTCATTATTTTCTAGGCGAGATTGTAATGCTGCATCAAGTGACAGTGTCAGTCACAAGATACGACACAAGTCAAAGGACGCGTTAGCGACAATGGGCGAAAGCAGCACTCAGTGTATCATCGATCCATCCGAGATCAAACAAGAGACGGACATCAAAGAAGAACCACAGTCTGTTGGCGTATTGATTGACATTCCGGCAATAGATAACCGTGACTTTGGAGGTGTGCCTGATTCCAACGAATATCCCGTCGAATATGATTTTGAACAGTTGAATTTTGACGAGGTTAAGACCGAAGTGAAGACAGAGACCGATGAAAAGAAAGAAGGAAATTCGAAGAAGAGCGGTGACTTGGCAGACGATCGAGATGATGGTCATCAAAATCCGATGCAACAAACACAAGCTGAAGACAATCGAGCATCGATGGACGTTGGCAATGAAGCAAACAAGGCAAAGAAACAAAACGATAAGACAACTCGAATTGAGGGTTGTATGAAATACAAGTGTGAACAATGTGAATACTCAACTCAACTCAAATCCAATTTGAACAGGCATATGCGAAAACATACTGGCGAAAAGCCATTTGGGTGCGATTACTGCGCAAAACATTTCACATCAAAGCGAGCTCTCCAGAGTCACAAGAAAGCTCATGTTAGAGAGTTTTTGTTCCATTGCGATGTGTGTCTGGATGGATTCGACAACAGAGATGAAAAGTTAGAGCATCAGGCCAATTGCAAGGCACTCCGTTATGAATGCCATATTTGCAAGCAATC